TTTTCAGAATCTTGTTCATTTAGATAAGAAGTACAGAAAGTAAATCAGTGTCTGCAAAATAATTGCCTACTTTTCAGGTTGAGGTACTGATGATTCTGTTGTTTTCTTACAGACCATGTGAATGTATTCCTTACAGCTTTCCATAGGTTGCTTTTTTTTAAAGTTTGTTTATTTTTAAATCTTATTTATAATTTAAAACTTGATCAGCCTGGAGACGTCCAAGTCACTCAAAAATACTTATGTATTTTAAATTACTACTTTTCCTGATCTCCATCTACTGAAGGGGTGCTCTTTAAGAATTTTTTTTTTACATATGCAGGAAACAGGAACTAGAGATTCTCAGGTATCAAAACTAAGAGAGAAGCTTCAGCTGATCAGTGCTCTCACAGGCAAGCCAGAAAATGACAGACCCGTTGAGACAACAAAGGATGGTAAGGATGTCATATAATAGTAATCCGTAAACCTGAGGGTTCCCTGTATAATTCAAAGAATAGCTAATACTTCAGATTTTGGTGAAGGTTATTTCAGCTAAAGTAGTAGGAAACTGATGGCTCTAAACCAGAAACTGTAAATGACTACAGAAGTTTGAAGATGACTTTCAATGTGTCTAGCAGGATTCATGTGCATCAACAGGTTGTATGTGAAGGCATACAGTGATTAACTTGTAGAAGTTTATACCCAGTAACATCTATTTTTGGTTTGTCCAAATCTTAAGTGTAACATAGAGGAAAGGTCTGCGTCTCTGCTGACTTGTCTCACTTCTGCCCTTTAGCTGTATATATTCAGATATATATATATGCTGAAGATAAGATTTGAAATACTTCATTACAAGAGAACTTTACTTGTTAATTTGCTAAGTAGCAACTTGGAAGTTTAGTCCTTGCTGTTGGGCTGATGGCTTGTTCAGTGCTTTCAGGTTGGGAAGTCATTCTTTGTATGGGATTTACAAATATACATCTAGTACAGCATGAAAGGTTAAAGCTTTATAACTGTAAAAAACCCAAGTTTCCTTCCTTGTGCTTTTCTAGTGACTGGTGAAAGGGGACAACACTGCTGTATTCTGAAGCAATTTTGCAGTATTCTTGTCCCATACAGTATCTGTGATGGAAAAAAAAAAAGAGAAATAAAAAACCAAAACAAAACCTAATTAGTTCTATCAGATTTTTTTTTTGTTTCTGCTACCTATAGTTCTGTGGAATTAGTAAGACTAATAGAAATTGTTTTGTAACAGTTGAAAGTAGTCTAAGTACTACAGCAAAGCCCACAGACCTTTCAAGGCTGACTTCAAGGTCAGCTGATGACAGCACAGAGGCTAACGGACAGCTGAGGTATCTGTCCTTACCAGGAATTTCCAGCATTGAAGGTACGTCCTTTCTAAACTTTTCTTGTTCTGAATATGTCATGTAAATGTTTAGGGACGATAAGCATAACTGGAATTATGGTAGTGTGGGCATTGTGGGAGAAGTGAGGTGAATTTTAAAAGCTTGAGAACTACAGACTTTAAAAAAAAACAAACAAAAAAAAAAACCCAACAAACACAACTAAAAAAAAAAACCACCACCAACCCAAACCCTGAAAGGAAAGAGTAGCATGTAAAAGAAAATAAATTGGGATTTAAACAGGAGTGTGTGTTATAAGTGAATTGCAATTGTTTTCAGTGACAAAGTGTTATATCAAGTGCCCCAGAGATTGGGAGAGAAGTCAAGGGCAGAATTAGGGTGCTGAAGGAAAATGATGTGAGTGTATATGTTTTGGGTTTTTTTGTCCTTCCTCCCCAAAAAAAAAGAGAGGGCTGCCTGGTCAAATGAATGTTTTCTGGATCTCGCTGTTTAGTCTCTTTGGCTAGTGAAAAGGGCAGTGCTTTCCACAGGAAATGAACAGACACTTTTCCCTTTATATCGTCTGTGCTGTTGGTATAGCAACAGTCAGAGCTTGCTTTTGTGGAGGGTAACAGCCTCTGTACGCTGTTAGGGGTTGTAGAGCGGGCTATTAGTTGTGACCAGAAAGAGGGATTGCTTTTTTTCAGATTTAATGTAATTTAATGCAGAAATGTTTGTGCTTTTTTTTTTCCTCCTAAACTGTTACTGACAGCTTGTGATGGCACAGAAGGCAAAATACATACTTGGGGATGTTTTGTTTAATTACTGGGTAGTCAGATATAGCACAGTAAAACTAAAAGACCAGCTTATAGGATATGTCTATATACTTAAAGGAGCTGCTTTTCAATCCTTGTTGTCTTTGCAGATCTTCAGAATTTGTTTGAAAAAGCAACTAAAGATGCTGATGGAAAACTATCATATGAAGATCTTCAAAAGCTGCTTGGCTCTACAGCCCAAGAGTCACAGAGCTTGAAGAAATTTGATACAGATGGAGATGAGAGATACTCATTACAAGAACTGAGATTAGCATTAGGTGTATAGGATATATTTAGAAATGTGATATTGATGGATGCTACTGTAGCTACAGAAACTATGGGACAAAAAACTACGTCTGCACTTTCCCAGTGTTTTACTGATCTTTGGAGCTAAATTACTGTACGCGTTACCACCTCTTTTTTCATTTGTGTTTATTGAAAAGAAATTTACAAATTGATATGTCAATAGGACATGATATTGGGACTGCGTTTAAAATCCAGGAAATTCCCAAACTTGGAAACATTTTCCTCTCATTCTTTCCTTTTCAAGGGAGTTCTTGTTTTTAATTTAAAATGTGTACATACTGAAATAAAACTATGGTTTTATATTTCACTGAAATTTGCCTTAAATTAGAGAGCTGCACTTTATGTAGAGCAGAAGGAAATCTGTCTTGTAAAGATAGGCTGCTTCTGCTTGTAAATATTTGAGATAGAGTAAATTATGCATATTTAAGGGGAAGTTTGTCAGGGCTGTGTTGTTAGCTGTTTATAATGAGGGATTGAGCCTAAAAGGGGCGATTAAGACCTTCAGCTAAATTTCTAGTTTTGACTAAGTGTATCCATGAATGAGTTTGGACTCAAGTCAGAGGAAAGCAGGAGTGGTAAATCATGCCCATCTATAGCAGGATTTATTTTTCAAGGGAAGAGTTAAAAGTGTTTTTCATGAGCCTCCAGGAGCAATTACCTGCCAAGTGCTTGGGTTTTCACTTAAGCATTGTTTTAGCTTTGCTGTATTGTGTCCAGATTATATTTTGTGACATGAGCCTATCTGGGTTTTTTGTTTGTTTGGTTGGTTGGTTTTTTTTAAAAAAGAAAACATTGAATAACTGTAACAGATGCTTAAGAGGTAAAAGTCTACAATGCAGCCTGCTGAGTGGCACCTGAATAATTCATGTCTCCGGTACGGTCAGCGATGTGCTAATGGTCACACTGACCGGTCACTGGAGATCTTTTGAACAGTGTTGGTGATGCCGCCAGTTTCTTCCATTCGCTGTTGTTTGGGTCATTCTGATAAAGTGTCCCCAGTAAAGCTCCTGGTCACTAGGAGTGTGAGCGGGTGGGGAATGCCCCACCAAAGTAGACTTATGGGCTATTTCCTGACTAATGCGAACGTGATCACTTCTCGGTACCTTTACCTTTTGTGTTCTCACCAACAGGATGTAAAAAGCAGGACAGGAGTGTGCAGTCGCATTGGCGTTCTCTACTGACACATGTTTTGTTAGTGAGGTTTCGTTTATACTAGTGGATCTGAACGCAGGGTGTGTTTATAACCTTCTGGAGCATAGAAAATGACTTTTGCAGAAGGGATTATCTTGCAGGCTAGATCAGGGCCGAGACAGATGATTTTGCTTACAAATATCACTGGTCTTGTTGGGAGTTTTTTGCATGGCTAGTGAACTGAAGTTGCTCACATTGCTGAAACACCAGTTTATGTGGAAGTTGGTTCATAATTGTTGACTTTTATATAACAGACTGGATGTTTTTATTAATAATTGTATTCTGGAAGTATGAATCAGTGCAGGAATATACAAAATGGAACTGTGTTACCCATTGCCTAGGCATCTTTCACTGTTGCTCTTCGATCCTGTTTGGGTAATGCAGACGTGACCCAATATGGAAATGCTTTTGATGCGACATTTGAAAACACAGTATTTAAAAACAAAACCAAACCAACCAACCTTGGCTTTTGAGAGGACAAGAAGCCAACACATGCTTCTTGCCACTTCCCACACCATTTTATACACTACTGTATAATTCCTTAACCAAATAAAAAAACCCCGGAGCAATAAAATGTAACCCTTCTGGTATTTTATTTGTACATACTGTATCATAGTCATATGCCAGAGTTTGCAAAATATTTTTGGAAGTTTGATTTGTATGGAATTTAACTTACCATAAAATTTAAAGGATTATTGTATCGCTGTATGAATCTATTGTTTTGTTGCAGTCTGCTTTACTTTTAGAAGGCTTTTCAACAGTAGTAGTGAAACTGTCAGCTAGAGACAGGGTGTGCTGCTCCAGCTGCGCGTGTCCTCTGCCTGTGGCCAGGGAGCCAAGCTTGTCAGTAACTGGCACTGGCACACAGCCGTTCAGTGGTGCTGCTTAATTTGCATGTCAAGAGCATACATGATTGCTAATTGCTCTAGTCACTGCTGTTGTAGGATGGACTTGCACTATCAATTTGACAAAATCCTATCATCCCCAGTACAGCGGTCACTTTTGTTTGGCCTAGGGTAGCCGGCAGCAGTGAGTTTTCTGCTACACCGCTTGTCTCCATCCGGTGTGCTGTCCAAAGCCCCAATGCTGGGTGTTGGCAGCCTCCCTCCCTCGTGTTTTATTCACGCCACAGATGGTAGAGGGCATGAAAGTCACGGGTGCAGTGCATACACTTGTCTGGATCTGCTCTTTTCTGTAGTTCGTGCCAACAGAGGGGCGGTTGAAGGCCCACCCCAGGGGGCTGCGTGTCACTTCGGGTGGCGAGGCCTAAAGAGAAAAGCGATGTCTGAACTCGAAAGCGGCAAAGCGGTGAGAGTGATGGGTCTGGGCTGTAGCAGGAACAAAGCAATGCGCTGCTGAGACTCGCTGTTACCCTGCAATTCTTGTGTTTGTTTTCAGGCTGTATTTGTGGGGGTTTCTTTGGGTGACCCCTGCGTAGAGACCCCTGTGTATCTCTCAGTTCAGTTACTGACTTTACAGGGAACAAAGGCGCCCCGTGCTGGGCGTGCATTGTGCTTCTCTGCTCCGTTGGGTCTGAGCTATGGCACTTCACCCTTTTTCTCATGTAACTCGACTTTTAATTTCCCTAAATAAAGGTTGATTTTCAGTGTGCGTCTCCGGCCCTTTCGTTGCGGGG